CCGAAACGGGGAGGGACCGGTATTCGCCCGATCCTGGATCTGAGGGCCCTGAACCGATGCCTCAGAAAGTACAAGTTCAAAATGCTCACGCTCTCTTCCCTTTTGCGTCTGATTCACCAGAACAACTGGTTCACCTCAATCGACCTGAGGGACGCATACTTTCTTATTCCCGTGTACCCTCCACACAGGAAATTTCTGAGGTTTGCCTGTCAGGGAGTGTGTTTTGAATACACCGTGCTCCCTTTCGGCCTCTCGCTGAGCCCGAGGGTGTTTGTCAGGTGTACAGAGGCGGCGATCGCCCCACTGAGAGAGGGGCATTCGGCTGGCCACGTACTTAGACGACTGGCTCCTGCTGGCACAGTCCAGAGAGGCGGCAATGTCAAACACGTTGGTTGTGATCCATCACTTGTGTGGTCTGGGTTTCAGAATAAACTGGCAGAAAAGTGTTTTACCACCCTCCCAGTATGTGTGTGTGCGCGCGTGTGTGTGTGTGTGTGTGCCTGCTCTGTCTTCTCGATCCCCAGTGAGTCGTGGAGGATGGCTGCTTATACTGAGCCAGGATTCTCTGGAGGTTTCTTCCTGTTAAAAGGGAGTTTTCCTCTCCACTGTCGCTTTATGCTTGCTTAGTATGAGGATTGCTGTATAGTCACTGACTTGATGCAATTTGCTGGGTTCCTTATATAGGAAACTGATTGACTTAATGAACTGACCTGAATTGGAATGTTTATTATGTGAAGTGCCTTGAGACGACTCTTGTCGTGATTTGGCGCTATAAGAATAGGATGGATGGATGGATGGATGGATGGATGGATGGATGGATGGATGGATGGATGGATGGATGGATGGATGGTAGATAGATAGATAGATAGATAGATAGATAGATAGATAGATAGATAGATAGATAGATAGATAGATAGATAGATAGATAGATAGATAGATAGATAGATAGATAGATAGATAGATAGATAGATAGATAGATATTGTGAAGAGGTTCAGGAGAGTTGGATGTTAAATTTTCCTCACGAAAAGAAAATTTGTATTAAACAAAGGTCAGTTCCCTCTGTAAAGTCAGAGGTACGGAAGAGGATTAGGGCCACTGAAAAGGAAAAAGAAAAGAAACAGAATTCTGACTTTTCCCCCAGAATTCCCTGTCAGAATTCCGAGATTAAAAGTCAGAATTCTGAGACAGTAAGAATTTTCTCTTTTTTCTTTTTATTCTTGTCAGTGGCTCTAATCCTCTTCGGTACAGAGTAGCCCCCCCCCCAAACGGTCGGCAAGTTGTCCGTTCCCAACCCCATGACCCCGTCTCACTCGACGGCACCAAATAGCGAGGCTGCCATTTGGCGTCATCAGCCCGTCTGACCACCACCAACACAGGTAAGTTGGGTGAAGTGTCTTGCCCAAGGACACAACAGCAGAATACCCCTGGCAGGAGCTGGAATCAAACCCATGACCTTCCGATCATGGGGCAACCCACTCTACTACCTGAGCTACTGCTGCCCCAATCTTGTCCTATCCACTTCCCTCAATACGTGTGTGAGAGCAAAAACAGGTAGTCAATGCTGATGAGAAGAGAGGAAGTTTACCTGGTTCTGGTTTGATTACAACCTGCCATAAACAGGTAGAGCTTCACATGACGCAACTAGGATGTAAAATGCAGATAAAACAGCTCTGGGTTCCTACTAAACAAATATGATTGTTTTTTTTGTGCTTTTAAGAAATAACTGCTGCAGAAAATGTTTACCCAATGAGGACAATGTCACTAGACCTTATCTAAGTGTCGACTGGACTGCTTATGCATCACAAAACATCTCAGTGATTGACCTATGTTGACTGAAACCAGTGTGTTTGCACCTCCAACAACACTGTTGTTAAGGTAACAAAGTTTTATCATACAAAGCAACTGGACGTTGATCAGAGGACCTTTAACCCCTTACCATTCCAGCATCCCATCCATGGGACAAAACCCCATTGAGTTCATTAAACCTGGAAATTTAGGTGGTTAAACTAGACTCTTTCTTACTTTATTTCTGTTTCTTTTCTAATTAAGGTCACAGCAACATCTCGTATCCATGGCAACCTGGCATTGATAAGAGATGATGCTACATGTGCTCTAGGATCAGACAGAGATAGGTGGTGCTGAGACGTCTTGTGTCTGGGTACACCACAGCAGATACGTAAATGTGACGGAGGTGTTCCTCTGGATATGCTGGGAATGTTGCCCAAGTGCCTTAAGGTGGTACATATGTTACTTCTGCTCATCTTTTGGAGAATTGAGCTCAGGTTCTCATCACTTGGAGTGTTTCCTGGTCAAGCGTCTGAAAGAGGTCTGAGGACTGGACAACTAGAAGGACTTCTCCTTGGAGGATGTCACTTTTAACTTTTCTCTGTAAAACATCCTTTTTTGATTGTTTTCATTATAATAAATATAAAACAGAAGTTTTTATTTTATTTTAGATGATAAATCAGCTGAGATGTGAAGATGCAGATTTAATAAGGCCTGTTTAATTATTCACAAACCTTTTTTAATGTCATGATCCAACATAACCTGATTTACACGGAAATGTCTGCAGCTGAGTCAGCAGATTTCTTCACTCTGATCAGATCTTAAGCAGAGTCTCCTTGAGTTTACCACACACACACACACACACACACACACACACACACACACACACACACACACCACTGGTGCTGCTGGTGAAACTAAAGGTAGAATCCTAACAAACCTTGAGAAAATCAAATCAAAACAATAAAATGAGCAGATCAAGCAGGGTCAGGTGCTAGCACCTACAGCTGATCTCGTAATTACTGGAATCTAACAGTCTCATTTCAAATATGACTTTATCTTATAAAAAACGTTAAAAAATTTTACAGATTAGTTTTAGTAAACATCTGAGACAGAGACCAGAAAACAGACCCACTCAAAAACCTGTCATGGTCTGTGTCTGTGTCTCTTTGTGTTCCTCTTATGTCCCCTGGTCTTCAGCCCTCCAGATATTCCCTCTCAGGTCCTGTGTTCCTTCAGTCTCCCCACCATAATTTCCATAGATCTATTATTCCAGTTTTGTGTGTGTGTGTGTGTGTGTGTGTGTGTGTGTGTGTGTGTGTGTGTGTGTGTGTGTGTGTGTGTGTGTGTGTGTGTGTGTGTGTGTGTGTGTGTGTGTCCTTTCCCAGTTAGGTCTGGTGTCCTCTCCTGCTCCTCCTCCCTGATTAGTTATCACTTTCACCTGGTTCTCTCCCCTCACACCTGCAGCTCATCATCCTCCCATTATGCCCCAGTGTATTTAAGCCCTGTCTTGTCTCAGTGCCTTGACGGTCCATTGTTCGTGCTCTGTCTGAGCCTTTTTGGTCTCCAGGTTTTTGGTGCTCTAAGAAAGCTTTGGGTGTCCTGTGCTCCAGGACTTTTGGACTTTAGGCTCGCTGCCATGGATTTATTTTTTGTTCTTCCAAAATAAAGGGATTTTACTTTACCAACTTCTGCCTCAAGTCATCCTGGGTAAATCTGCATATTTGTGTCCCAAACATCCCCACAACGTGATAAAACCCACCGGTCCCAACCAGAGCTGCACAAAGCCAAGCCTCAGTGGATCACAGCAGCTTTGTCAGCATCAATCTATAAAATAATTATAATGAATATTCCTACTGATAACTTTGTCTTCCCTCTCTTCAGAAACATGGTCCAGATTACAGATAATCCAAAAGTATAAAAACTAAACAAGGGGAGATTATCAGAACAAAGGCTTGGTTTCCCTGCTTATATATTTATAGTGAAGACTTATGCATGAAAGCTTTGTAAATATTTTAACGCAGCTTTTATGAGTGACCTCATGTGTCTATGGTGGGATGCATTCTGGGTAAAAAGATGCATCTTTTTCTTTAATAACTGTAACAATTAGCTCTTGCGTGTACAGATACTACAGTGATCCAAACTTTAGATTAAAATTTAATAGAACTTATTCAGAAGAATCAGGAAACCAAAAAGATGAAGTTTCTGTGACATCAGCAGGAATTCGCACCAAATTATTACTGGAACATTCCTTCATTGTTGTGTCCTTCAGTAAACGTGAGAAGCTGGTTAAACGACACACCAGCAGGCCTGAAACATTTGAACTGACTGGAATGTGGTCAAACCTTTTGTTTCTGGTGGGAAGTTAGAAAAACCAGGATGATTTAGAAGATTAGAAATAAAAAACTTTCAGCACACTTATTTTTCTCTGTAAAAATGATCGCGTTAATTCGGAAAAACAGAGCTTTTGTTTTTGTGACAGAATGCAATTCGCTTCCGTACATTACAGGTTCTCGTATTCAAGTGTATTCCTGGTCTATGGAAACGCGTGTTTGACAGTTACCGGGTCAGTGTGTTTCTACATAATCAGTGTTGTCTTCACCGGTTTGCCTCATGATGAATCATTTAAATCCACAATAACTCATGAAGCTCACCCAGACTACGATTACACAGGATTTAAAAGGTGATCAACACTAAAATCAGATGCTTTCTTAGACTATAGATTGAGTGTTTTCAGCTTTCAGAAGGAAGGAAGATTTTTTAAACCTTGTTCTCAAATGAAAATAATCTCAACTACAAATAAAAACATCAAATTAGGTTCAGAAAATAATTTGTGGCCTGTTGAAATAAAAGAACTCTGAAGGCTGAAATCTTTGGCTGTAGCACTGATGTCATCCCTCGCGGTGGCTGGGAAGCAGCCTGACTCAGACACAGATGACAGACAGGAAGTCTCCGAGAGCTCCTGGATTGTGTGTTTAAGGTCTCCTGATAAGAAAATGATGTCTGAGTAGATTGCATGCCTGTCATTGTCATGTTGGGGCCAGAGGAGCATCGGACTCAAACAAAGAGGTGGGAATGCCACGCTAAGACGTAAACATCCAGAAGGAGACGACACTGTGAAACCGATCAAACCAGCATGAAAGAGAAAAGCGAGCTCTGATCTGGAATAACTTCATCAGCAGTCTGGACTCAGGAGCCCAACAAGGACACTCACCCGGGTGTATGTGCTCCTTCTAGTCTGGGACATGTCTCCTAGTCACTGAATGTCTCCTAGCCTGCTCTTAACTGAAGGAGCGTGTTGGGAGACCAGACAGGAGGGGGGTGAGTGGGGGGGTTTCAGTGATGCTGCCGGAGAATCTCCTGTTTCTTCTCCATGTCCTCACACAACCCCTCACCACATTTCCACAGCACAAGTCAACTCTCCCAAAATAATCCCGTCCCCCTCTCTGAAGCTGCCAGAAAGTCCTCAGGAGCTTCACCCCTAAAGGTGGGGGTGCGGGTGGGGTGCTGATCCTGCCGTTCGATGAGTGGGTAAGACAAAAAAAAAAAGACACAACCAGGCTTGGTCTGCCTGCAAGTGCATCAGATGAGCAGCGGCCCTGCACTGTGCTGGTGTCTGAGCTGGCTCCTGCAGGAGGGAGACGGGTTAGGCCCAACCCCAGCTTCTGGGTCCTAAAGCCCGCAAACACACTTCCCAAAACATTCCATTTGGGTCCTCGTTTAGGATGATGCTCGTTCATATAGATCGCAGACTGAAATATGAAGAAATAAAACCTTACAAGAGCTACCAGCACAGCATAAATCTAACATGCTGCTTAAGTGGAGCCATTTCCACCAGATTACAAACTGCTGATGTCAGAGTGAGCAAAATAAAGCACCCAGAAACAGACACTGGATCAGTTTCTTTGTGGTTAAACACAAAAGCTGCAGGTGATGCTCGGTGCTGCTGCAGCCCAGCCTCACATCGAAGCCCCCCCCCACACACAGCCAGGATTAGCAGCCTTTTATCCACACACTGAATAGCAGGAACTTTTTAACTGCCGGTCCTCCATTTACAGCGTTGTCATCATGTCTGCAGTGGGAGCGAGTGCTGCAGGGTTTCTGTGAAAAAGCTTTTATCTCTTAGCAGAGGAGCCACGTGGGAAGAGTGTGCATTTCAGCAGCAGAACAAAGGGCAGGCCAGCTGATCATCACACTGACCAGAACTTCTGCAAACACAGTAAAGTCATACAGGTTCATGTGGAGGGTTAGAGCAGGTCCAGGAAACGATCATGCAACTGTGGACATGGTTCATGACACAAAACAGACCTCTGCAGTCTCTTTGCACCCATTTATGCTAATGAAAACAACAGAATGGAAAAGGGGGGTTGTTCAAGTTCTGCAGAAAGGAGAAGAGGGAGTCTCACAGACAAACAGAACCGGGTCGGGCTGCTGGGACCAGCACAGAACCAAAAGGGATCGTCTCAGCAGCATCGCAGTGGACCCAGTGTCCTTCATTAAACAAGGTAAAAATAAAGAGAGACAGGTTCGTGTAGATGTGACTGCATGAAGCCATGTTTAACTGACGGGCTATTACACCAAAACAACTGTTCACTTTGTTTTGTGATTTATTCCAGCTGTTTGGGAAGACCTCCTCTGATTAGTGATTACACAAATCAGGCAAAAACCTTTTTGTTTACCAGAAGAAGGGAAAATCAGTAACTTTGTGTTATTTGTTCAAACTAAAAGAAATGATTTATTTTATAATGAAGAAAGACCAGAAGCTGAACACTGATTTTAAACGTCCCATCTCCTATTTAACTGCTTTCATTTATAAAAACTCTCATTATGATGATTGTCAGAACTTTTTAATGTCTGTAAATGATGCATACTTATTATCTGTCCAGTTTAGTGACATTAATGTAAAATCAGATTATTTACAGAAACCATTTGGAAGAACCTGCTGGCTGGAGATAGTTTTATTCTTCACTCAGCAGACAATAACACGGGAGAAGTAGGTCAGCTAATGAAAACATGGGCAGAGCCTGAGGATTAACACACAAGACAAAAATGACAAATTGCGGCGAGCTGGTGCACTGAAACTCTTATTCAGGTGTTCATGTGTCTTGCCCATGTATGTCTGATCTCTGAATTGTGTGTACTGAAACTCTTAATTTCCCTCTGGGATTAATAAAGTATCTTTGATTTGATTAAATCAGACTTGATGTATTTGTGGGAACAAATCCCGGCATGGGTGTGGCAGCAGCTTCATCATATTAAAAATGAAAATTAAGTGAAATCATCTGGATTAAACTGTTTAAAACCTGATATTGGCCAGATTATTATCTTTTAGATGTGCTCTGATTATCTAAAAAAACTGATTACCTGCCTTTATAAATAATCGTTTAAATGCTAAAGTGTGTAAAACCGGTTTTTGACGCGATCCTGATGGTCGCTACCTATAGACGCTGACCAGCAGCTAGCAGCAGTTGGCCTCCATTAGCTTTCGCATTTTAAAATGTTTTTATTCTGTTATTTTAAAACAAACCAGGTCCGTTTATATCTCAGGACAGATGTGAACACCTGTTTAGAGTTTAAGCTCCACCGCCCGGACGGCAAACCTCACCTGGCTGTGTATAATCCGGTTAGCTTCGCCCCTCAGCTACATCCTTCTCCAGCGGAGCGGACCGTCTTACCGGACCGAGCCGCGCTGAGGTGTCCGAGCTGCTGCCTGACTCAGGCGGCCTCACCGCCCCGGAGCTACGCCACCCTTTAACCAGCTGGATAAGCGCTTCATCTCTGAACTGATATCATCTGTTTTTGGTTATTAAAACAACATGGGACAGGAGTTTTAAAGTTGATCATTTTTATTCTAAGAATAAATTCTAATTTCTAAGAATATAGCCCCTTTTAAATGTTTAAAACCTCAAAATACGTTTCCCACATCTGAAACTGTTAACAGGTTTAAGAAAAAGTTTGGATGTATTTTTATTTTTATTTTTTGTCACATTTGTTGGACAGTTTTTCCAGGTCTGGATGTCTCCTGTGTCCACATGCGGGCAACAAGCCTATCTGGGTTCCATCTCTAATGGGAAACTCCTGAATGACCAAAAATAGCTTTCCCCCCACAATTAGCTAAACAGATATCTGAGTTATTTAAATTTCCTGCAGAAGTGATGCAAAATGAAAAGCTGCAGATAACATATCTCTATAGGAGTCTACAAACCATCAGGAACTAAAAAACTGTGTCAAATAATTCTTCAAACACTAAAGTCTGCATCAGAGTGAATCTAACAAACCATTTAATTAAACTAAAGCATGCAATGTAAATGCAATATAAGAGTCTCATTATCAAAAATAGAACAATATAGTGAAAACAACACTTTATCACTGTGCAATAAAATAATTTATGCATTGGCACAATGAAATTCAAATTCCCAGTAATCACATTTCTACATTTATTACAATCAATATAAAGCATCCCTTTTATTCCTGCTCCCCATCTCTCTGCAAATCAAGTCTGTAAACGATCAGAGTGAAGTTGATGATTTTAGCAATAAACTCAGGCACAGGGAACTCTCTGATCTTCCTGTAGCCCATGTGTTCGTACAGTTTCTGAGCATCAGTCTGTACCACAGAGGTGCGAAGGACGACAGCAGAATAACCTCGGTCTCGAGTAAAGTCTGCTACCGTCTGACACAGAGCCTTAGCGATGCCCATCCCACGATGACTCCGGCACACCGACATGCGCTTCAGCTCCAGGCAACCAGGCGAATCTTCAGCAGGGAGACATGCCACTGTCCCAACCACCCGTCCATCACTTTCAGCCACCCAAAAGCATGAGTCCTCCTTCTTCAGATAGGTCTCACTGACGTTGTTCAGGTCACTCCTGAGACAGGTGTCTATGTAACTTTTGAACATGTAGCCGATCATCTGCCGGGCTCCAGCCAGGAGGAGGGTGACCACCATGATGGGAAGCAGGACAGACTTGGAGCTGGCCATGACCACACAGAACACGCACATGAGCAGCATCTGGGTCTGAGGCTGCTTCAGGGTGTGCATGAAGGATGAAGGTTGGTGCTCACTCATCCCCCGTATGAAGATCTCCTTCACACGCTCATCATCCTCATTTCTGTAACTCCTGATCTGAACGGTGGCCATGTCTGAATGTTTTAATCAAACAGGTTAAATTAGTTACACGTGACACAGTTTGTTAGTTAAAGCTTGTTGTATTCATGAAGAAGAGGATAAAACGTTCAAGCAGCTTATTACTCATCAGTGAGCTGTCTGTAACAATTCAATCATACATTAGAATGAATGAATCTGTCTTTTAGAAACCCGGATTGGGGTGTTATTATCTGTTAAACCCACTAATAAATATGATGCCATCAGTACATAACAGGGCAACTGGTCACTAAGATTTTAAATGTACAGTGGAGTGAAAAATTATTTGCCCCCTTCCTGATTTCTTATTCTTTTGCATGTTTGTCACACAAAATGTTTCTGATCATCAAACACATTTAACCATTAGTCAAAGATAACACAAGTAAACACAAAATGCAGTTTTGAAATGATGGTTTTGTGTTTATGCCCTTGTGTTTATGTAGAAGATCATCAGGGGGTCTTTTGTCTTTTGTTCCCTCTTCGGGGGGAAACTCCCACTGGGTTTGAATCTGGGACTCTCCATCATTTGACCTTAGAACTGAAGAAGCCTCTCGGATGAGAGGTGAAACGTCTTCAAGCAACTCAAAGAAGTCCAGATGCTTTTCTTTCAAAGCTCCTTAGATAGCTGTTAGTAAATCTTCTGTTTGTAGTTTTACGTTATGGGCATTTTACTTTATTAATAAATGTTACTTTTTCTTTTCTGTTTAGCTAATTATACCGTAATGCCAATTGGACTGATCCATCTTAAACCTTTGTCGGCTGTGCTGAAGAGAAAGGTACAGAACCAAATTATTTAATTAATTAGCTGCGCGTTCTCTTGTCCTCTGTCCTCCGGGCCACACACACACGGGACTGTCTCAGCTGTTATTTTTGTTAAGGAGTGTGCACGTACAGCATGCACGCCTCGTGCACGAGCCTACTACTGAAGCTGCCGTTACGCTTTTGGCCTGAGGAGGCAATCACGAGCATAAAAATTCAAAACTCCGTAAGTCCCTTTAAAACAAATGTTTATCGTGGATATTAGTTTTTCCAGTTCGGAAGTTGTTTTAAGTGTTGCTATTAGTCTTAAATGTTCACAATGAGCATATATTGATCCTTTTTGCAATACGATTGAAAGATGGTTTGTGGTAAGAACTGGCTTTCTTTATGTTACAGCCTTGATACTAAAAAATAAATAAACAATGTAAAATGGCTCCCTGTATTGAATGTAAAGTCAAACGTTGTATAAATGGAAATAAGCAATTCTCCAGCGATTTGATTTTTTTCCCTCTTTAGTCCACTTGACATGGAGCCACAGTTAACTAGTTTGGGGCACATTTTTACTTGAAAAATAGTATTTAAACTGATCAAGCTTTGGCTTTACAATGACACTGTGTAGGTTACTATCTATACATTACTTTGCTCTATTTAAAAGTAACAAGATAAAAGCACTTCAGCACATAAAATTAAGCTCGTCACTTGCCAAATAGTGACTATACCCTCCTGTTTACCTATAAGAAACACCTCAAAATATCTTTAAATTCATTATTGATGATTCAATTGTAGACAACAATGTTTTTCATGGAGGCTAAAATTGGCCAAATAAGGGTTTTATGTATTATCTGTTGATGTTATTGTACTCATACTGTCTACTGTATCATCATAAACACCCCAAAAGTGGCAAAACAAATATAGACAACAAGGCCCATGTAGGGTCCATGAAAAACTGAGTGATTCAATCACTTTTTGGCAAGTAAAATGCCATTTTTGTTGTCTACAATTAAATCATCAATAAAGAATTTAAAGATATTTTGAGGTGTTTTTTATAGGTAAACAGGAGGGTATAGTCACTATTTAGCAAGTGACAATCTTAACTTTATGTCCTGAAGTGCTTTTATCTTGTTACTTTTAAATAGAGCAAAGTTATGTGTAGTAACCTACACAGTGTCATTGTAAAGCCAAAGCTTGATCAGTTCCAAGTAAAAATGTGCCCCAAACTAGTTAACTGTGGCTCCATGTCAAGTGGACTAAAGAGGGAAAAAATCAAATTGCTGGAGAATTGTTTATTTACATTTATACGTTTGACTTTACATTCAATACAGGGCGCCATTTTACATTGTTTATTTAATTTTTTGTATCAAGGCTGTAACATAAAGAAAGCCAGTTCTTACCACAAACCATCTTTCAATCGCAAATATTGAAAAAAGGATTAATATATCCTCATTGTGAACGTTTAAGACAAATAGCAACAACTTCCGAAATGGAAAAACTAATATCCGCGATAAACATCTGTTTAAGTACCGGATGAGGTTATCTCTGCTTTCTGAAAGTCCATATTGCTAGATACGCTGAGTTTTAAGGCGAAATCCTGGGGAATTTCGTCTAGAATTGCAATTACTTAAACCGTGCGCGATCCCGCGGTGGCTAATCATTTTTTGGCAGCCAGTCGATTTATGGCACAACACCTCCTCCAGGATTGTTACAACAGTTTAAATAGCCGACTTTGTAATTCCATGTCATTACATTTGCCAGTGTTAGTCGGAACAACTTTGAAAAGTGTTTAAGTCGCGTACTAATTCAGCTTCTTTATTAATGTCCCTACAATAAAGTCACCGCTAATAAAAGCAGCTCCTCTAATGCAACATTAGCAAACTCCTGCTAGAATGATCCTAGCTAGCGAGGGTTTAGCTTGGTATAGCTAAATAGAACGGTAATACTACTTACCTGAGATATGATGAACAGAAATTTCTTTCCTGAATACGAACAATCACCTAAGATAACATGGTACAAAGGGTCAACTCAATCTGTAATTGATAATAAAGTTAGCGTATAGGCGGTTTTACTGTGCGCGACTACACTCAGTATTACTTCATTAGCTCCTTCAAAATAAAAACAAACTTCCGGTCAAAGCGATTCATTCCCCCTTTCAAAATAATAAAAAGAGCCACAGATGCACGATAGGGTTACTGTACAATATTTCAAAATTTAATCAAGTCAGTTCAGAAGTATCCAAAATTGAAGCTTGCATCCAAATCATGTGACTCGAGTTTCTATCTCTGGTACACAGGCAACATCATTCCATTGTCCACATAAAAATATATATATGATTCTAAACATTTGTTCATTCATTCATTTCATCTAACTGCTTCATAAAAAGACCCCAGATCCACCCTGGTGCATGCTGGTCCTATACTTGTCCCCTTATACACAAGGGGTTCCTATAGTCTTTACATTAATCAAAATAATCACTTTCAAACAAATACAGTTTTATCACATTATGTAATCACAGAATTTTTACTTTCATTTCTGGTAAAATTAAGATTTAGTGACACAGCTTCATTAGTTATAACCAAGTACACTTATCCAAGGTCAAGCTACTTTTACAGGTCCTGGTTCTGACATATTTATATGTATTAAATAAGTCTGAGCATGTAAAAGTATATTCTCTCACAATATCTAGACACATTTCTGCTGTTGTCTCATAACCTAGGAAAATAACCTGCTCAACAATTTTCTAAGTATTAACTTTATTAAAACAACTAGCTGGGTTGTCCTATCTCTAATATTTACCTAAAATCTTTTTTCTAGCTTATGTTTATGTATTTAGCAGACGCTTTTGTCCAAAGCGACTTACAAGTGATAATCGGCATGTTGCCGTTGAGACTAACAACAATAACAACAATCAATTTCCAGTCACTCGTAGGTGGCAATGAGGCAGCATGATGAATCATGGAGAGGAGGGAACAAGGAGTGGACAGTAGAGAGGGGGGACGGGTGCAGGGAGGGTGCTAGTTAAGAAGATGCTCTCTGAAGAGCAGGGTCTTCAGGAGTTTCTTGAAAGTTGAAAAGGAAGCCGCTGTTCTGGTAGTGCTTGGTAGGTCATTCCACATTTGTGGAACGATGCATGAGAAGAGTCTGGGTTGTCCTGAGCGTGGTGTAGGCATTGCTAGCCGATGATCCTGTGATGACCGGAGCGGCCCGGCTAACTGAAATAATTTATATTTTCTGACTTTTTTATTTATTTATACTTCTGAATCGTCTTCAGTTGGTTGTTTATCTTTAAGAATTGTAGTCAAACAGTTCACTTCAGGTCAATAAATTTAATGTTGCAGTACAGCTAATGAGCTACCTTACAGCAGGAGTAACGATGTGCTGCTTTACACACTCTTCATCGTTTCAGGAAAACTTTGGATGACGCTTTAGATTTAATTAGTTAAATGACAGAAGACAAAAACACTACATAGACCACTTCAGGTGAACTTTAAGCGGTTTGGTGATTGTTTATATAAATAGTCATGTCACTTTGAGTCCCTTAAATTTACTCTATGTAAATCAAGTCTGTACTCAATCAGATTGAAGTTTATGATTCTGGCAAAGAACTCAGGCACGGGAAACTCTCTAATTTTCATGTAGCCCATGTGCTCGTACAGTTTCTGAGCATCAGTGGCTACCATGGAAGTGTACAAAACAATAGCAGCATAACCCCGTTCTCGAGTGAAATCCGCTACCGTCCGACACAAAGCCTTAGCGATACCCATCCCACGATGACTCTGTCGCACAGACATGCGCTTCAGTTCCAGACACTCGGGCAAATCTTCAGCAGGAAGACACGCCACTGTCCCAACCACACGCCCTTCACTTTCAGCCACCCAATAACATGAGTCCTTCTGCTTCAGGTAGGTCTCACTGACATTGTTCAGGTCACTCTTCAGGGATGCATTAATGTAACCATTAAACATGTAGACGAGCATCTGCCGGGATGCAGCCAAGAGGAGGGTGACGGCCAAGATGGGAAGCATAAAGGACTTAGAGCTGACGATGAGAGCGCAGAATGAAACCATGAGCACCATCTGGGTCAGAGGCTGCTTAAGGACATGCATGAAGGACGATGGCAGGTGCTCATTCATCCCCAGGATGAAAAGCTCTTTCACGCTCTCAGCGTCCTCATCGCGGTACTTCCTGATCTGAATGTTGTCCATGATTCAGCTTTCCAACAGAACAGGAAAGAAAAATGTAAGAAGCAGAAAACCAAAGACTTTCACTCATTGTGATATCTGCAGAAGTTATTCCTATTTAAACGATCAACTTATTATAATTTTAATATTTATAAATAAGATGCTCATTCAAAAAAATTCATAAATAATTTTGTCAAAATCGAGTCCATGATCAAAATTTTGTCTTTAACCCTAGTTGACATGTTGACTAATCTGATGCAGATTCAGATAACTGCAATATAAATAAATTTTTGCAATATAGTTGTTTCCTTCAGAGAGCTCCAGATGCATAAATACAAAGAACAAGTATTTCTCTCAGCTCACATGCACTGTATTCATGGTGCTCATGAGATTGATCTAAAAACAGTTCACTCTTTGTCCTTGAGATGTGGATTGTTTATACCAACAACAGACTACAGAATAAGTCCTTAAACGTGTAAATGTACGTTGAAGTTTAACCACTGACGATAACATAAACTCTTCAGTTATTTAAATGAGAACGACGTAAATAATTAAACATCGTGTCCTCCCCCCAAAAAAAAACACAGTTATGATTATGATGATTTGTGCTCATGATACATGATGAGGCTGACATGATCTTATAATTCATTTTACAACAGGAAGTAGAGTATTATAGTCTGATGACAAATGTCGCGTTTCCTTTACGAAATAAAAACAGTTAGATTAGCTTACAGAAATTAGCATCAACGCTAGCTAGACTAACGCAGCTTCTGCGCCTCTCGGGGACTAATGAGACAGAAATAACACGATAAAACTAAAAAGGTTGAATAAAATGAGTTACTTACGTTCTTATGATAATATATAAGCGCTACAGTGAACCTCATGCAGCCGAAATTCGCTCCTGCTTTCCTACTGAGCTACTGGCTAAACAGTGATGCATTCAAAGATCCTCGGAATTCAAGGTGAGATGAGAAAGGTCAAGCAGTATTTGTTATTGTGATAACAGTTTATCCGTCGTTAAGTGACACCATCATAGCTGCAGGCAACCATCGTTTTAAGTAAGTATTAAGGCAGACGTTATAAATATATCTGTAACTAAACGTTTGCTTTCCTCTGTGAAAAGAAACATTGTGTACAATAAAACACGAACGCACCATGTGTTTACGTATTTTAAAGGGTTAAATTAGATCCAAAATCATTTATTTCAATAAGTCCTTCTGCTAATAAATATATACTGTAAAGTTTTGAATGTGGTAGTTTTTGGTTGGGAAACCATATGATGACAGGTGTGAGTTAAGGTGTTTAAAATGCATGATTTGGGTCATTCAAATAATGTTTAACTAATACATACAAGAGTCATACATACAAGAGTCAAACTAAAAAAAAGACCAACATATTTATTGTCTCTTTAAAACATATTACACTGGATTTTACACAGGTTGATTGTAAAAATAAAAACACCCTTATGTGGTGTAAAACAGTGAGTCAAAGGTTCTTATTTACTGTGATTACACAGATTTGTGGAATAAGTAGCTTCACTGCTATTTTAGGTAAAAGTCTAACCAAGCACTGGGTTTGTAAATTGGCCTTTCATTATTAGCAGTATTAGTTAGATTTAAATAACATGAACTTTTCTGCCTTTTTTTTTTGGTCAACAGAAAATAAACAATCTAATTTACCAAATATGTATAAAACCCATAGAGTCCATGGCCCAAAAATCCAAATGAACTGAGTTTTCATATAAATATAATTATTTTGTGGGAGATTAGTCAGTAGCTGATAAGGACTTTTGCTATATGTTCTCTGACTGATGCAAATAGTTTATAACACATGAGAATGAAACAGAAAATATTACACAGTAAATTAAAGTTGAAATCAATTTATTGTCTCCTTGTAACATACTTCATTAGATTTCTTTATTGATTGTAAAAAAACACTTGTGGAGTAAGCATTTATCTAAAACAGTCTCACGGTACAAAAAATCTTTATTCTTCTAGGATTTGGTTTAGTTTGTACAAAATATTTATTTTACATTCATTCTGCCCAGCTGACAACAGTCATTTATTAGCCCAGGTTGATGTTTCCTGCAAACAGAGTGATGAGCAGGATGATGGTGAACCCCGTGAGCAGTCCTGCATTCTGGATCAGAAAGAAGATGATCTTGGTGGAAGTTTTCCGCTCGTCTCTTGCTATGCTGTCCATTTCTGGAAACTGAAATAAAAAAATAAAAAAAACAAATCAGAGTTTAACACAGAACCAGAAGAGAATCTGTATTAACCACAAAGACATCCCTGACTAGAGCCAAAACTTCAGCAACTAAAAACTTTTATTTTGTCATTAATAAATTAAATAAAAGGTCCCAAACCAACAAACCAGTGAAGCTCATAATAAACCCAAATCTCTCAAAAACCCAGATGGGGAGGAAGATGATTGGATATTTTTGTTTCATGTGTCTATAAATGTTTTATAAGAACCAAACTTTTCTTGTTTATGTTTACATTTTCAGACACTACATGTACCGGTAACCACTTGAGGGCAGCAGGTCTAAAACATCCACCTCTAGCTGACGAATGACCTCTGTTTCCTACAGAACACACCTGCTCCCCAGGTCTGAGCAGCAGGTGTTGCAGGAACGTTCACAGCAAAAACAGCTGACTGTGAAAAGGTCTAAAGCAGGAACCAGTCAGTATGGGGAGTTTTCTTCTAAAAGTTTGTAAAATATATTATTTTAGTTTTTCTTTGGGCTTTGTTTAAAGACTCACCATGTCAGCCAGTGAGATGTACAGAAACATTCCTCCTGCGACGGCAAAGATGACATTGGGAGCAAAGCTGCTTCCGAGCAGGATTCCAAACACAAGGCCAATGTAACATGACACCGACGACATCAGGTTGAAGAAAACTGCCTGTGGGATGCTCATTCCTGCATTCAGCAGGATAACAAAGTCTCCTACAGAGAGAAGCAAACACAGAAACAGAACTCAGCAGATTTTTCAGACTTTTACTCGATTCTCAATGGAATCCAAAAATATTTTATTTCACGTCAGAAAACGCGTGATACATAAACCCAAAGAGGATAGATATATTTCTCAGTTATACTCTTTTCACCTGAAGACCTGTCCCGTATCTGCTCTATTGTAGCAAAGCAATAAATATTTATTTCAAACATGTGGAAAGTCAAGGAGAGCACGAGTTCTGAACACAAATGAAAGCGTACTGGAAGGGATGAAACAAGTAAAATAACATTGTTAACTAGGTATTAACTAGCCATCATGTAGCAAACATTATCTGCATGCAGCAGCATTGCTGAACTTTGTAAAAAAAAAACTGCCTAAATATTTTTTCCTTTTTGGCCCTGTGGCATGCTTCTCTTCCTCTGCTCAGCAGCACCTGTTATGCTCGCATGTGTACGCATAATATGGTACATTTAAAGACAGCTCGGAAAAATATGTTTCTGCATATTGATGGCTGAAAAAAGTGCAGGGGGGGGGCATGTCCCATGCATCCCCATGTCTGTTACGCCCACCTTTGATACATCCAGTCAGGGGCGTGGCCAGGGAGTGGCATGCAGTAGCACATGCCACCCTTGAGATCTGATTGGCCACTCCACCTAGTTTCACTGAAACTGATTTTCCATTGTCCACAAAAGTCCTGAGGTTATAAACCCCAAAACAGAAGGTGGCAGCATACACTTTTAACACTGGTTTCCATCTACAGGCCAACAGAACATTTCTGTATTTTTCATATTGATATAAACAGTATTTTGAATCCTGGTCCTAGTTCCACTCCACTTCATTTGGTGGCGGTAGTGGACCAAGATGTGGCTAGCAAACCACTACAAAACAGCTCCAAAAAGAAAATGAAGATAGAAAATTGGTCACAATTTGGAGCTCACAAATTCCCTGGAATAAAAAAAAAAGAGTGATTTTTTGAGGGATGATCATAAATGCCACCAATGCAAGGGCCCCACCTGGGCCACCCTGTTTTAATAGGCCTGGACACGCCACTGCATCCAGGCATTTCTGTCTCCTCTAAAGAGCAGAAACCTTTTTATATTCTGTGATCTCCTAATTTACTAATTCTGCTAGACAGATAACACCACTGGTAATGCAAACATCCTGATTTTGGGTATTGTTCTGAGGAAAATTGACATGTGCACTCTGATCAAGAAGAAAACTTTGGTTGAACATCGAGAGTGTTGTATCCATTGGTTCCCACTTACCCAGCTCATGGGGAAACTCCTCACAAAAGATGGCGGTGGACGTGCTAAACCCAGTCAGTACGGACACGGTGAAGGACGCACCTATGGCAAGGCCATCGATGAAGTTGTGCAGCGCGTCGCTCAGAGTTATCATCCATGCCACCGTCTTGATGCTGGAGATGTGCTGCCCACGAAGCCAGTGGCACATCACACTGTTTGACACTTGGACCTCCTGGGACAGAGACAGGAGTGGTGAAAGTTGGAAAGCCTCTAGTATTACTGGTGTTTGGACATGTCAAAGCAAACGTATGGATTCAGAGAAAACACTAAACATAGCAAAGTTCAAATAATACAGAAATAGAGGTGAACTTTGCTTGTTGGTTTAATTTTTGTCACAAAAACCTGGATAAAGCAGGTACATTTGTTGTTATTAATAAGTAAATCATTATTTTACTGTTTAGGAAAAGAAAAGCTGATTGCCTGGCAAGCCATCCTAAATACAGTATGTTATATGCAGAGCTAAATCCTTTTGCTTCAGCAGCTGTGGGTAGAGGTTTCTAGGTCGGATAAGTTATCTGCTGATACCAAGGTTCAGTCCAGCCCAGACCTGCAGAAAACAGACCATCAGAACATTAAAGCTATTGAAACCAGTTTTTGTGAGTGTTTGTAGAGGATCACAGTCTAGTTGGTAAATAAGTAAGTAATTTTTATTTATATAGCACTCATCACAGAAAGAGATTCACAAAGTGTTCCACATAGATCAAAAACAAAACAAAACAAATCATGGGTCATAAAATCATAATGATCTTAAACAAAACAGAAATACATTAAAATTAGGAAAAAAAAGTCATGAAATTATAAAAGGATCATAAATATCATAAAACTAACGAAAGATGATTTCAATTTCTAGCTAAAAGTAAAATAAGAACATAAAATATTTAGGTAAAAGCAGCTGTTTTTTAAGTATCCAGACTGTCAATACTAAGTAAGGATAAAGGACGATCATTCCAAAGTCGGGGTGCAACAGTCTGGAAGGAGAGATCACCTCGACTTTTGTATCTGGTCTTTGGAATTTCTAGAAGGTTCTGGTGTGTGGACCTGAGAGCTCAGGTTGGAGCATAAGGCTTTAACAGTTCGGTAATATAGGGAGGAGCTTGACCATGTAGAGTATTAAAAGTTAGAGTCAGGATTCTAAGGCCCTGTCCACACGTAGCCGGGGATCTGCCAAAATGTAGATATTTTTCTATGTTTTGGCCTGTCATCCACACGAAAATGGAGTTTTTTCACACAAAAACTGATCTTTTTAAAAACTCCGGCCAAAGTGAAGATCTGCGTTTTCTCCGTTTTGGGTGTCTGCGTGTGGACAGACAAAACCGGAGTTTTAAGGTCCGCAAAGTCACTTTCCGCAAAGTCACACCGACTGATAGATCCACCTCCCATTTTTCAATAGGGATTGCAATTTTATCGTCTATTTTGGACAGTGCCTTATAAACTTTAGACAGTAGTTTGGGAGGTTTGAGATTATAGAAGTCAAATACCCTTGGTGGTGTTTGTAATTCTATATTATTGAGCCTAAATTTTTGTTTGACTACAGATTTAATTTGGTGATATTCCAAAAAGCTATTCTTATCCATTCCACATTGGGAGACTATTCGATTAAATGGGATGAAGTCCAATCCTTCATCTATGTGTTCCAGGTATAGGATCCCTTTATTTTTCCAGTCCGGAAGTTTCATCATTTGGTTATTTTGCAAAATATCAGGATTATTCCAGATAGGTGTGCGTCTGCATGGTATTAGTGAAGACGCTGTCATTTTAAGATACTCCCACCATGCTGTCAGAGAGGTGCTGATACTAATACTTTTGATGCTTTCATGTTTTCTTATGCTTGAGCTAATAAATGGTAAGTCTGAAAGCTCTATCGTATTGCAAAGTGTCGGTTCTATATCTAACCATGACTCATCTAGTGGGTTATCTTGCAACCATCTTGGTATATATTGCAGCCTGTTGGCTAAGAAATAATAAAAGTTGGGTAGATCCAGTCCTCCTCTGTCTTTGGTCTTCTGAAGTGTTTTTAAGCTAATTCGTGGAGGTTTATCCTGCCAAAGGAATTTAGTAATTGAGGAGTCCAGACATTTAAACCAGTCAGCTGGTGGTTTGTTTGTGATCATCGAAAATAAGTAATTTATTCTGGGTAAGACCATCATTTTAATTGTAGCAACCCTCCCCATGAGTGATATCGGTAAGGATTTCCATCTTGCAAGATCATCTTCCACTTTCTTTAAAAGTGGGACGTAGTTTAGTTTGGTTAGATCTGCCAACTTGGGAGAGACATTAATTCCCAGGTATGTGATATTCCCTGACTCCAATTGTGTGTTAAGTAAATTGACAAAAGAGAAATTAATTGGTAGAACTGTGGATTTTAACCAGTTTATAGAGTAATCTGAAACTCTTGAAAAAGAGTTTATCAGTTCTATTGAATGGGAGAGAGAGGATTGAGAATTCTGGAGAAAGAGTAAAACATCATCTGCATAAAGACTGATCTTATGTTCTATTTTCTTACACTCTATCCCTTTAATATCTGTTGTTTGCCTAATTACTGCCGCTAGTGATTCGATAAAAATAGCAAACAGTGAGGGGGAGAGTGGGTATCCCTGCCTTGTCCCCCTCTGAAGACAGAAGCTAGCTGATATTTGGTCGTTTGTCCTGACACATGCTGTTGGTGAATTGTATAATGTTTGTAGCCAGTTTATGAAGAAGTTCCCAAAACCAAATTTATGTAAAGTTGCAAATAAGAACTTCCAGTTATCTCTATCAAAAGCCTTTTCTGCATCTAGAGATAATATAATAGTTTCAATGTCTCTACTGTAAGAGAAATCTATCAAATTAAGTAATCTACACGAGTTTGTGGATGACTGTCTACCCTTAATGAAACCAGTTCGGTCAGGGTGTATTATGAAAGGGGTTACCTTCTCTAATCTTTTTGCCAGGGCTTTACAAATTATTTTGAGATCAACATTAAGAGAAATTGGGTGATAGCTGGTAGGAAATGCAGGGTCTTTGCTTGGTTTTAACAAGAGACTAATATTGGCTGAATTCATGTTTGGCTGTAATCTGCCGCTCTCTTCGATTTCCCTCACCATTCTGAAAAATATTGGAGCCAGAATGATCCAGAATTCTTTGTAGAACTCTGCTGGAAACCCATCTGGACATGGAGCCTTCCTATTAGGCATGGATTTAAGGGCTTCCTGGAGCTCAGCTGATGTTAGTGGCAAGTCCAGGACTGTAACTTGGCTGTCTGATAATTTAGGAAGTGTTATCCTGTCAAGGAACTCATTGATCTCGTCATCTGATGGGTTTATCTGTGGTGAGTCCAAAGTTTGGTAAAAGTCTCTGAAAGTGTTGTTTATTCTTTCAGGGTCATAAACTATTTTCCCAGTTGAGTCTTTAAAGGCAGATATGGTAGTTTTCTCTCTTTATTTATTTTTAATTGGCTAGCTAAAAATTTACCTGATTTATTACTATGTTCAAAGTTTTCTATTTGTAGTCTTTGTGCTAAAAATTGTGTCTTTGTCAATAATTCCAAGAAGTTCTAATTTAGCTTTACGTAATTTGCTGAGTCACTTTTTCTGTGGATGCCTCTAAAGACTTAATGATTTCTTCTAACTCCTGAATACATTTGTTTTCTGGTTTTTTTCTTATGTGATGAGAGAGAGATTATTTTACCTCTCATCACTGCCTTTCCTGCCTCCCAGAGAATAGATGCTGATGTTCCAGGCAGGTCATTATGTTCTAAATATAAAGCCCACTCCTTTTTTAAAAAAATCAATAAAACCCTCATCTTTAAGCAGTGATGTGTTAAACCACCAGTTATAGTTTGGTAAACATGAAGACAATCCCACCAGAGTTAAAGAAACTGGAGCATGGTCGCTGACAGCTATGGGGTGTATCTCAGTGTCTGAAATGTCATCCAACAATGAGCTGCTGACTAGAAAATAATCCAAACGTGAATGAGAGTGATGGACGTGTGAGAAAAAAAGTATACTCTCTACGGTTAGGATGAAGAGATCGCCATGCATCACAAAGCCCATAATCACTCATGTACTGTTTAACAATATTAGTGGATTGCCAATTGCGCCGAGTCCCAGCTGTACTGACTGAGCCTGTCTGTTAAAGTGTCCATCCAAAAATTTAAATCACCTCCAAGTAGAAGTGGACAGTCCAAGTGTTCGAAGAGTACAGAGAAAAAATTAATGGAGGGTTGTCAGTTTTGACTGGCGGCGGCACGTGGTTTGAAGGAGAGGCAAACAAATAAATCAGGTTGAGGTGGCTTTATTGCAGCATGTCTTGTCACCAACACCAACAACCAACACTAACACTCACTGCCTTTTATAACAAAGTGAATGATTGGATGAAACCAAGGAAAGGGGTAATCAAAGAAATAATAACTAAATAATATTTACCAAACCCAACCACCAAATAATAAATGATACCAAACATTATTTACATAAATACAAATTATATTAACTAAATACATCCAAGTTCATTCAAACAAAAGAAACTAGGTTTCACATAACTCCTCCAGGAATCACACCTCCTTATTTAAGTGGTTTGCTCCAGCAGCTTAAACGCAGCACCTGGGACACAAACTTCCCTTTGCTGCCCCGCCCTGCTGAGGAGACACTACCAGAAAGGTGAGTGAAACTTTGGAGATTAACTTAAACACATATTGACATTTAACCGACATTTCCTCTTTACACAGGAAGAGCGGCCAGTCCCTCTGTTTCTAAAGAACCTGTTACAAATGTCCAACACAAAATAAATCACTTCAATTACAACCTTTTGTCTGTAACTCAATCAGAAATAACAAAACATAAATCATAATGAATGGAACCCCTAGTCTCCATTACAAGGGTCATCAATATTTGGACAGTATATGCTGACGATAAATAAGCTTTGGTTCTGTGTAGATATTTTTAACATTATAAATCTACCCTCTGGATCTGAAATTGTGTCCAATACGGTGAAATTGATGTTTTTGTGTATTAAAATATCTACACCCCTTTGCCTAGAGTTATAGCATGCAGAGAGCATGCTGGGAAAATCAGGTGTTTTAAGTTCATCTGCAGATGTGACAGATCTATGAGTCTCTTGTAATAATATTACGCCTGCTTGCACTCTTTTTAACTGATCAAAAATTTTTAATCTCTTCTCTCTGGAGCCAGCTCCATG